GAATACTTGCAAGTGTTCAATTCGGTGTGCACTTCGTAAGTCTGCGACTCCCTGATTTCCCCCCCCCACCCCCTGTTGAACATTTCCCACACGGTGAACGTCTGAAACAGTGTTGCACAGATAGGAGGTGCGCACTTAAAGTACCGGGCGTAACCGTGCATAAGCAGCAGTGTTGCGGGTTTGCCTACTCTTTACGCCCGTAAGGAGCCATGGCCCCTGCGGCCATGTTGAGTATGCAATCCCGCAACACTGCTGCATTCGCAGTTACACCCGGGTACACACCAAGTTCAACATTTCGAAGTGTTAAGCGGCTGCAAATCTCTTAATTTACCTGTGTGAGGGGATGAAAAGAGGAAAGTGGGTTACAATAATTGTAAACTTGGACTTGAACTATTACTGCCAGCTCGTTGAAGCATTGTGCGTGTGTGCCTGTGCGCGCGCTTACACCAGGCGCGTCCCCGCCTGCATGTCATTAGCGTTGCATCACGACGGCACTTTTTAGCGCGTTGTATGTATGCGCCAGTTGGTGGACCTTCTTTTCACACTTTTTCTATTGCACCTGGTGCTGTGTGGTGAGGGTCGGGGTGGCTCGCACGCCGACGCCGGCTATGGTTCACGTTACGGGCTTCCCCCTTGGATGGTTCCTCGCTCCCCCACTGCCAAAAAAGAAGTACAACTCGCACTGGTCAAGTCCTTGCTAGATCTAATGTACTGGGGTAAGGTTCACAATTTTGAGGTTCAAATTTCAGTAGCCTTTAACGAACCGTCTTCTGGGCACTACTGAAAAAAAGTACAACGATCATGTACTTCTATCGACCTACTTTGAATTTGATGCACTTCGGTACAATTTTTTTGACGGTGCTGTCTGAGCGGTACGCTGATACCTACTGACCGAGGACCCGCCGACTATCGCAGGCATTTCTTTGATTCCTACTTTTCAAAGCTAACGTAGAAATGTGTTGCCATCTGATCGAGGTGGGTCGTTGACAGATTGGTTTGCTGCTGCTAGTAACGGCCTGAGGAGCGCGACCCGCGGGGCGAAGGGGAAGGCCGCTGCCTTCGGGAGGAGGGGAATGGGGAGACAGATTGATGACAGGCGTGTGCACTGCTATGACTTTGCTAAATCACTTCCCGTCGACTAGGACTGCTCCGGATCTCGGCCGTCGAGTCTTTCGGTGTAAAATGGGACAGTTTCGATTCACGGTGCCACTCTTTGGACCGCTCGGGCGGTGATGTGGTCCGCCGTGTGTGACAGCGTGTGAACGTGCGCGCGCGACCTCCAGCCCGTCACCCATACGGCCACTTTCTTGCGGTCTCGGTGGTCGCGTGGAGTCTCTCCCCTGCGGCCACGGGCGACCATTTCAAATTGTTTCTTCACCCAAATCATTAAAGGGGTGAGGACACATGTATGGCCGAGCGAGACGTCGCGGCGGTGTCAAGGTCCTGGCCAAGCCGCGTGACGGACGAGCAGTCTATATTCCGAGTATTTTTTCCCTTGCGGTGTGTCCACCTGTCGAATTGGTCGCAGTGGCGCCGCTCGTTTCGCGCAATGTCACTGTTGAGACTCGCCACTCTCCTGGTCGTGATCTGCACTGGCCAAACAATCGCAGAGAAAACACTCCACAAATCACTACAACACGGTATCCCTTTTTTGTTTTATTGTTTTGGCCTATGACTCCGACTCCCTTAAATGGCACGTTGATGATAAATTTCGCCGAACGCATAGCAGTGCGTTTTTCTCCCGTTTACTCCTTTTAATTATTGTGATATAAAGTCTGCGGTGCGCCGTTAAAGCCGAGCTAGTCCAGCTGCTGAACGGGTTCTACTGCTCCAGCAGCTCCCACGAAATCCTCTAATGGGTCCGCAGCCAGCGCTGGGAGGTCCGCGGCGAACGGCTATCTCCTCGTGCTGGCCGGGAGTACCGCAGTACCGCCCGAGTGCGATTTTGCTTTTTGCACGCGGTACTCTTGCCGTAAATTCATAATAGTCGACTCTACTTATTTTTACTGTTTTTATTATGCCATATTTTTGTATTTCTCAGAACACTGAAATTCGCACTAAATCCTTATGTATTTTGTTCTTCATAAGCATGCAGAATTTTACGCAACTTTTCTGTATAATGCACAAATTCTACTTAACTATGCACAAATTTGTACATAGTTGTGCACAGAATTATTGCTGCGTAAGATTCTACATGTTTATGCAGCAAAATGCATCAAGAGTTTAGTGTGAACCGATGCTAATGAATGATATTAAAATGATTCCCGGCAAGACCGTTTGCCCGCGATAACTTTTCGGTATGAGAGCGTTGGACGCGGTTGGTCACTCTGCGGTGGGCCGGGCCGTGCCGCCACTTCATCTCGTTCAGCTTGTCTCCACTCTGTGCCACCTTGTTTCTCTGGTCTGGTGCGGTGCGGGAGTGAAAGTCAGGCGGGGCGCGCCACGACACGCGAGGAATCTAATGTTTATGCGGCGAGAGGGTGTGCGGGCCGAAAGGGTTGCTGCGCGTGCGGCCGTTATTTGACAAAATTAACACCTTCTCAAAGAAGGCCAACTTTTGGCCCTCTCGAAAGGCCAAATTTTGGCTGTTAAAGAAGGCTAAAAATTGGCAGTCTCCGAAAGACTGCCATAGTTTGGCAATACAAAAGCAGTTCAAAACTTTTGGCAAGCTGTAGGTATGACCACAGCGTTTAGACTGTACACAAAATTCATCGCCGCCAGTAAAATTTATTTATGTCAGTTTTGTTGTCTCATTTGAATATGTCATATCATTCGTCGACTTTTGCGTGAGTAGGAATACTTGCAGCTCGCTGAGTAGCATAATTCTTCAAAAAGATAAGGAAAAAGTATATCACAGATGTTAGTGTTTTGTCTCTCAGACTCGAGAACCACGAAATCTGTGGGAGGATAAGTCTCATGCTGCTGACTATCTTGCAGCGCACAATTGTTCACGCTTTTTCTCCCTTTATTTTTCTACTTTTTATTCCGCAATGTCGCGTGTGTTGGGTTGGGGGGTACTTGTCGTGTAGCGCGTTACGAGACGGAAAAGCGAAAGGAGCCTGGGTGAGAGAGTGTACACCTAGTGTGGTACTTTTCCATCTCCTTTGCGCACACTTGGCGACACCACCTGTCTCTCTCACTTATAGTGACACGAGCAATAAGTACATTGCGTCTCGAGGACTGCACCTACCAACCCGTACTAATGTCAGTAAACACAGTCACACACATTCGGAGATTTTTTTTTGTTTGCCTGACGTAGTGAGTGACCTCCTATGGACGTTCTTCCATGTCGGTTTTTCGGTAGTCTTGAAAGAAGAAAAGAATTGTCTTGGGTGCGTGCGCTGCGGTGCGCGGCCCCGACAGACGGTGAGGGTCAATGTCACGTCACCTTGCCGCACTGGACCGCACCGGACGTACTCGCCGTCCGCGCACTTCCGCCGCGCCACGCCATCGCGTCTGAGAGGGGAGGGCAAAGAGAGAGAGAACACTACATAAGATTGGCATATCATTAGTTATTTGGCTTCTTGGGTGCTTGTTTTAATATAGATTTTTTTTCCGTGCGGTGTACATGAAGCCGTTTGGCTCCCTCGCGCTTCGGCTAACCCACATACCCGCGAGGACGATCCCTCCTGCTGTCGACTGCAGGAACACCGGAATGTTGGCGCGGGGCG